ATATATTGTAAAAATATTTTAGGAGATTACGCTTTTTTTGAATTAGTAAATTTGATATTAATTTTTTAATAGGTTTCTTACATTCCACAATCTTTCATAAAGAAATTCGTAAAGCATTGCACAACATGTGCAACTTGAAGAAATTTTTCGAATCCAGTAGCTGCAAAACCAATAATCTCTAATGCTTTCCTTAATAGGGTTCAGGTTGATCTAATTTCTATGGCTAGTATTCCAATGGTGATTATTGATCATTATACTCAGTACTCTTGGGCTTGTACATTGACCAGCAAGCAGCCAATTGAAGTGGCAATTTTTCTTTTTGACGTTTTCGTCTGTTTTGGTGCCCCAATTATCCTTCAGACTGATAATGATCATGAGTTTACAGCAAAAGTAATTCATGAATTACTTACCATATGGCCTGATGTTCACATTATTAATAGGCGCCCAAGGCACCCCAGAGTCAAGAGCTTGTAGAACATGCGAACAATATACTTCAACAAAAGTATCTAAATGGATGGAAGATACGCAAAGGAGGGATTGGGCTCGTGCTGTACCATTATGCTGTTGTAGGTATTTTAATTATGATTTAATTTTTTTAATTAAAGTAATACATATTATATTTTTTATTAGATGTTATGAATATACAAACATCATGACCAACTAAGAATAGTCTCTACGCATTAGTGTTTGAACAAAATCCTTTACATCATTTTATTTTGTTAAAAGAAATTAAAGAATAACATATTAATTCTGAGGATGATTTACCTGAAAATTGGTTCGAATCCTCTGAACCCCAAGACGATTTTGATCAACAAGAAATCGTGGAGTCACTTTTAGGAGCTGTGGTTTTAAATGTGGAGTTAAAAATTTTTTATACAATAATATATTTTATTTATTTATTTATTTATATATTTTATTTTTTTATTTATTTAATTTATTTATTTAATTTATTTATTTATTTATTTTTTATTATTATTTTTTATTATTATTTTTTTTATCTAAACTGAATAATTTAAGGAACAACAATTACTGGAACTCGTTGATGAAGAATTGGAGAATGAGCAAGTAGATAACGAAAGAGATGATAACAAAAGGGTAGATGATGATGAAAGAGTGAATTACGATGAAATGGTGAATAACAATGAAAGAGTGAATGACGATGAAATGGTAAATAATGATGAAAGAGTAGATTACAATGAAATGGTGAATAACGATAAAAGAGTAGATGAAAATGAAATGGTGGATGATGATGAAAGGGTAGACAATGATGAAAAGGTGCACAATGATGAAAGTGTGAATAATGAAAGAGTTGACAATAAAAGAGTAGATGATGATGAAAGTGTGGATATTGAAAGAGTAAATTATAGAAGTGTGTATAATGAAAGAGTGAACGATGAAAGGGTTAACAATAAAAAGATGAACAGCGAAAAGGTAGATGACAAAAGGGTGGATGATAATAACAATGAGAGAATAAATGGTAAAAAGGTAGATAATAAAGGTATGAATGATAAAAGGATAGACGCAGGTGAAAATGATGACTAGATAGTGCACAAAAGAGTGAATAAAAGAACAAAGAAAGTAATGAGGGTATATATTAGTGTTATATTGTTATAAAAAAAAACAAAATAAAATAATAAAATTTTATAAAATAGATAGAATTACCTGAGGAAAATAATAATCATGAAATTCGACCAACTAAAAGGCTAAAATTGTCTACTACTGATATTCGGATAATTAAGCAATTAAGCATCATTTTAGTGAATTGAATTTTAATAATTAATTAACATTTATTACATTTATTCTGTCTTTAGTCTTCTTTAAATAAACACCCAGAATCTACTCTTTGAGACAAGACCAATGTTCAACAAACATCAGCACATCAACTTTATCGAAGTATAGCTACAAAGTCACTTGAATGATATCGTAATGATATAAAATTGCAGCTCAATAAATGTAATAAAGGATTATTTAATAAGTACGACGTTGGAAATTTGGTGTACCTCAAAATTCCTGAAATTGATAGAACTCATAGTAACCGGAAAATACTCCCTTGCAAAATTCTTGAGGTTTTAGAGGACAATATGTATAGAATTGGATGTAAGTTGAGCATTATCAAAGTTACATAGCGCAAATGAATTACTTCCATTAGGTCCAGATAATTTTCCGGAATTGAATAATATTCCTTTAACTTTTATTGGTATTCAGAAAGTATCTATCGCACAATCATTATTACAAGTAGGCAACGTAAAATGCAACTGCAATAATACTTGTGAAAAAAATCACTGTAAATACAAAAAAATGAATTTGCCTTGTGGTAGTAGTTGTCACCCTAGTAACCATAAATGTAAAAACCACGCGTAATGTTTTAAAGCAATACTTTGAATATAATATAAATAAAACATAATCTCGAAGCTACTTAAATTCTAAAATAACTTATTAATAATTTAATTCTGAATTTACTTTATTTCATTCTATGTTAAATTCGAATTCTTTAATAACTTGTGCACATTTTAGAATTCTATTACGATCTATGTTTATTTGGAATCAACCTAGATTGATTCTTAATCTACTATAATTCCATTATGATGTATGACATATATACAGGTTTGAGTTATATATGATGAAATTGGCTACATCAACGTACCACATAAATAGTGAAGTTGATGTTTGGCCTCTATGTCTCTGTTCAGTTATGTACATATATATATATGTATCTTGTTATATAGATATTCAGTAAAGTAGTAGTACAGATTCGGACGGACATACTGAATTTTGATAGTACGTACGGTCAATATAGATTTGCAAAATTCATTATTTTTTATAGTTAGAGTTAGGGTGAGAGCTAGTATTGTCCTTTTTCATGTTATGATTTTTAGTAAAAGTAACTTGAGTTTGATGATTTTTTTCTTATAAAAACTATACATACTACTATAATTTCACATGTCTATCCTAATTTGCGTTTCTCTACTGTACTATTTTACTATATACCCAATCTGAAACCCTAATTCTATTGATTTCATCAAATTGAGAAATGAATTCTCTATTTAGTCATAAATTTTCCAGAATATCCTAAATAATATTGTTTACTAAAATATTGAAAATCTTCTTGCACGCACTTAAAAAGTATCTTGTCTATTTTTGTATGTAATTGACAATCAAAAAACTAATTAAAGAAGACCAAAATAAAACTCATAATTTATTATTTAATTATCGTTTATAATCTAATAGAATATAGATAAATTGTCAAGTATTTCTCTTTTCAATCACTAGGTAATAACAATTTCAAATTGAATATTTTTTCATTAACTGACATTTTTAACTCTTCAATAAATATGTGTGGATTTGGGCTAGATTAATAAATAAAACAAATTAATTTTTATTCACTGATAGTTAACAAAAAAAAATAATAATACTCGTTATTATGAAAAATTGGAAATCACAGTAAAAAACAGCAAAAGCTTTATTTGAATATTCAATTTATCTATCTGAAGAAAAATTAATAGAGGTGACTAAAATTATTTATTTAAAATTCATAGCAAGTTTTACAAAAACATGTCAAATAAGATTTGGAAAACTTATTATAAAGAAATTATTACAACTACAATAATCTACGTACACAAAAATTTAGTCTATACAAATCTAGGACGCAAATCACTAACTCTTCCTGACGATCACTTGTACCAAATTTTCTCTAAAAATAATCACTCTATTCTCTAAAT